CGGCGACTGGGCGGCTCGGCTGCCCGGCCGCCCGACTGCTGCAGGTGAGGCGGCGGGGTCGCGTGAGAGAACCGGGGCGGGGCCGCGAAGGGGGCCGGCGGTAGGGCCGCGTAGGAGCCGGGGCAGGGCCGCGTTGGAGCCGGCGGCAGGGCCGTTTGTAGGGCCGGCTTAGGAGCCGGGGCAGGGCCGCGTTGGAGCCGGCGGCAGGGCCGCGCAGGGGTCGGCGCAGGGCCGAGCAGAGGCCGGCTGCAGGGCCGCGTAAGGAGCCGGCGGACAGGGCCGTGAAGGAGCCAGGGACGGGGCCGCGTGAGAGCCGGCGCGGGGCCGAGTAGGAGCCGGCGGCAGGGCCGCGTAGGAGCCGGGACAGGGCCGCGTAGGAGGCCGGCGCGGGGCCGCGTAAGGGGCCGGCGCGGGGCCGCGTAAAGGGCCGGCGGCGGGGCTGTTAAGGGGCCGGCGGCGGGGCCGCGTAAGGGGCCAGCGGACAGGGCCGCGTAGGGTGGGCGGCGAGGCCGCAGGGGAGAGGGCGACTCGAGGGGTCGCTAAAAAAAACCGCGCCTCGGGGCGCGCTTCGGTGGGCCCAAAAAAAATCGGTCCTGGAGGGACCTAGCTCTATACCATGTGAAACAATGAGAAGAGGAATGAAATGACTAAGTCAGAAATTGGTACAAATAACAAACCCAAGGAATCTGTACCCCATATGTGCTACCCCACTACAGCCTACAAACATGTATCAGCTATAATGTTCTGACAACTAACGCACACGTGTAGAGAAAATGGTGCATCGGCCAGTCTGGCCGGCATTTCGCACTTATAGTGCAAGTAGGGCCAAGGAGAACGGAAACGCTCATTTCTCAAAAACTAAAGGGAATCTAGCGGTCTCACTCGATCAGAAGGTGGGAAATATATAAATCTAGTGAGCTAATAAGGTTGGAAAGGAATCTAATGCATATGTATATGGAAAGTGGTGCATTGGCCAGGTCGGTCAGTATGGGAACTTGAGTGCAAATGCCTGGGAGAACGGAACCGCTCAGATCTCGCATAATACACCGAATCTAGTGGTCTCACTCAAATATAAGGTAGGGAATATATTCATCTAGTGAACGTAAGGGTTTGAAAGGTAACTAACGCACATGTGTAGAGAAAACGGTGCATCGGCCAGTCTGGCCGGCATTTCGCACTCATAGTGCAGGTGGGGCCAGGGAGAACGGAAACGCTCGTTTCTCAAAACGTAGAGGGAATCCAACGGTCTCACTCGATCAGAAGGTGGGAAATATATAAATCTAGTCAGCTAAAAAGGTTTGAAATGTATTCAACGCACATGTATAGAGAAAATGGTGCATTGGCCAGGTCGGTCAGTATCGGAACTTAAAATGCAAATGCCATGGAGAACGGAAGCGCTCAGATCTCGCATAGTACACGGAATCAAGTGGTCTCACTCAAATAGAAAGTAGGAAATATATTCATCTAGTGAACGTAAGGGTTTGAAAGGTAACTAACGCACATGTGTAGAGAAAATTGTGCATCGGCCAGTCTGGCCGTCATTTCGCACTTATAGTGCAACTCGGGCCAAGGAGAATGGAAACGCTCGTTTCTCAAAAACTAGAAGGAATCTAGCATTCTCACTCGATCAGAAGGTGGGAAATATATAAATCTAGTGAGCTAATAAGGTTCGAAAGGAATCTAATGCATATGTATATGGAAAATGGTGCATTGGCCAGGTCGGTCAGTATGGGAACTTAGAGTGCAAATGCCAGGGAGAACAGAAGCGCTCAGATCTCGCATAGTACACGGAATCTAGTGGTCTCACTCAAATAGAAGGTAGGAAATAAATTCATCTAGTGAACGTAAGGGTTTGAAAGGTAACTAACGCACATGTGTAGAGAAAATGGTGCATCGGCCAGTCTGGCCGGCATTTCGCACTTATAGTGCAAGTAGGGCCAAGGAGAACGGAAACGCTCATTTCTCAAAAAGTAAAGGGAATCTAGCGGTCTCACTCAATCAGAAGGTGGGAAATATATAAAATCTAGTGATCTTATAAGGTTCGGAAGGAATCTAATGCATATGTATATGGAAAGTGGTGCATTGGCCAGGTCGGTCAGTATGGGAACTTAGAGTGCAAATGCCTGGGAGAATGGAACCGCTCAGATCTCGCATAATACACGGAATCTAGTAGTCTCACTCAAATATAAGGTAGGAAATATATTCACCTAGTGAACGTAAGGGTTTGAAAGGTAACTAACGCACATGTGTAGAGAAAATGGTGCATCGGCCAGTCTAGGCCGGCATTTCGCACTCATAGTGCAGGTGGGGCCAGGGAGAACGGAAACGCTCGTTTCTGAAATGTCAGATTATTATGGCTGATGCATGTTTGTAGGCTATAGTGGGGTAGCACATATGGGGTACAGTTTGCTAGGGTTGTATTTGTACCCAACTCTTACTTAGTCAATTCATTCCTGTTCTGTTAGTTTCACATGGTATAGAGCGGGTCCCTCCTAAGGACCGTTCTTTGGGCCCACCCACGATTTTTTTTTCCTGCCCGGAGCGCGCCCTATTCTCCCCGAGGCGCGCTCCCCCTAGTGCGCGTCGAGCTGCCCTTGTGGCGCCCCGAGAGTCGCGCGCGCGACTCATTTTTTTTCGCGCGCGCGGCCCAGGCCCCACTTCGCGCGGCCCTTACAGCCGCGCCGCGCCGCCCTCTCTGCTCTGCCGCGCCGCGCCGCCCTCCAGACGGCCGCGCGGCCTCTTCGTCGCTGCAGCAGGCCCCCCCCCCGCTGCACCTCTGTCGGCCCCGCAGCCGCCTTACCTGACGGCCGCCGCCTCACCTGACGGCCCGCCGCCTCGACTTCTGGCCCGCCACCTCACCAGACGGCCCTGCCGCCTCACCTGACGGCCCACCGTCTCACCTGCTGGCCCGCCACCTTACCTGACGGCCCCGCCGCCTCACCTGACGGCCCGCCGCCACCTTACCTGACGGCCCCGCCGCCTCACTTGACGGCCCGCCGCCTCACCTACTGGCCCGCCACCTGACCTGACGGCCCCGCCGCCTCACCTGACGGCCCGCCGCCTGACCTGCTGGCCCGCCACCTCACCTGACGGCCCGCCGCCTCACCCGCTGGCCCGCCACCTGACCTGACGGCCCCGCCGCCTCACCTGCTGGCCCGCCACCTGACCTGACGGCCCCGCCGCCTCACCCGACGGCTCGCCACCTCACCTGCTGGCCCGCCACCTGACGGCTGCGCCGTCCCCTGTCCCGGCCCCGCAGCTGCACCCTGACGGCCCCGCCGAGCCGCCCAGCAGCAGCCGAGCCGCCCAGCCGCAGCCGAGCCGCCCAGCAGCAGCTGAGCCGCCCAGCAGCAGCCGCGCCGCCCAGCAGCAGCCGAGCCGCCCAGCCGCAGCCGAGCCGCCCAGCAGCAGCCGAGCCGCCCAGCCGCAGCCGAGCCGCCCAGCAGCAGCTGAGCCGCACAGCAGCAGCCGAGCCGCCCAGCAGCAGCCGAGCCGCCCAGTACCCGAGCTACCCGAGCCGCCCGAGCCGCCCGAGCCGCCCGAGCCGCCCGACCCAGCCCGAGCTGCCTGCTGCTGTCCTACCCGACTCTCCTAGCCCGGTGAGACTTTCAGCTGCTGCCATGGCCACCCCCAATGTTCTTACTTTTGACGCTGAGGGGAGGGCCATTGACTTTGCCGTCTGGATTGAAGACCTGCAGCTGTACTTACTGTGTGATGCGATAGATGAGGTCTCTCTCTTTGACTTTGTCTCTGGCACTGTCCCTGCCCCGCCTGCTGATGCTGACTCTGCTGCTCGCTCCAAGTGGGCGACCCGCGATGCTGCTGCACGTCTTGCTGTGCGTCGCCACCTCCCTTCCTCTGAGCGTGCCCACTTTAGTCAGTGCAAGACCGCTCAGGCCTTGTACGACGCTGTAGTTGCACGCTACTCCTCCCCTTCCTCCGCTACCCTTAGCCGCCTCATGCTACCGTTTCTCTTCCCTGACCTCGCTTCCTTTCCCACTGTTGCTGACCTCGTTACCCACCTCCGCGCTAGTGACACCCGCTACCGCGCTGCCAACCCTCCTCCCATGTACATCACTCTCTACTTTCTCGTCACCCGTCTCCCTGAGTCCCTTCGTGTCGTTAGGGACCAGTTTCTCTCTGTCTGTCCCACCACTCTCACTGTCGACCTCCTTGAGGAGTCCCTGCTAGCGGCTGAGAAGAGTATTGTCGCTGTAGGGGCCTCTCGGGGTGACCCTCGCACCCCCATCTTTGAGGGGTGTGGTCCTTCCCCCCTGCTGCCCTCTGTAGCCTCTGCCGCTGCGGCCGACCTCGCTGGTTTTGAGTCGGTCGGCGCGGCGTCTGCCCCCAGCGGCAGACGCCGCTCTGGCAAGGGCAAGGGGGGCAAGGGAGCGGGTGGAGCTAGAGGGGGCGGTGGAGGAGGCGGTGGGGGTGGAGGGGGGAGTGGGGGTGGCGGTGGGGGTGGTGGCGGGAGTGGAGGTACTGGTGGCGGCGGTGGAGGCGGAGGTGGCGGTGGAGGTGGTAGCGGAGGAGGCGGTGGGAGCGGTGGGAGCGACGGTCCTGGTGGGGGAGGTGGCGGTGGAGACGGGGGTGGCGGTGGAGGCGGGGGTGGCGGTGGAGGCGGGGGTCGGAGTGGCTCGTCCCAGCGGAGCAGCTCTGGGGGTGGTCAGCGCCAGCAGCAGCAGCAGCAGCAGCAGCAGCACCAGCAGCCGCAGCAGCAGCAGCGCTCTCGCACCGTCCCCGGCCCTCAGCAGCTCCGTGAGTGGTACTTGCAGCGTCAGCGCGGTGGTGCGCTTGGTCCCTGCCCCTACGTTCTTCGCACCGGTGACCGTGCAGGGGAGAGGTGTGGAGGCGCCCACACAGCCCGTCGCTGCTTTGGCCGCCTGACCGACGCCTGGCGTCAGCAGTTTCCGGAGGCCGCTGAGATCCCCCGCTGGGGAGAGCTGTCTAGGGCTGGAGTAGCTATTTATGATCTTGACTTTGATGCTATTCTCTCTGCTATGTATGCTGTGACTGGTTGTGATGAGGATGACTGTTACCGGTGTTTCCCGCCCGACCCGGGCATTGGTACTGCCGCGTCAGGTACTAGTGAGGCTGCTGCTCTAGGTGCCAGTACGTCTGTGCTCTCAGGTGCTGGTGAGTCCGCCCTCTCAGGTACTGTGTCGGCTTCGGCCTCTCACACCTTCACCCTTGACTCTGGAGCGTCTCGCTCCTTCTTTAGGGACCGCACCACTCTCACGCCGCTGAGTCGACCGGTTGCGGTGTCCCTGGCTGACCCCTCTGGGGGACCTGTCCTGTCTCGCTTCTCCACTGTCCTCCCGTGTCCGGCGGCCCCCTCTGGCACCCTGACTGGTCTCTACCTCCCCTCGTTCTCGACGAACTTGGTGAGTGGTGCTGACCTCCAGGATGCAGGTGTCCACCAGTTCACCCCTGCTCGTCAGCGGGTGACCCACTGTACGGAGGCGGATACAGGTCGTCACCTGGCTACGTTTACACGTCGGCCAGGGTCGAGCCTGTACACACTGACCACTGCTTCTCCTCCAGGTACTGCGTCTGGTAGGGTCCCCTCGTCTGGTCAGGTGTTTGCTGCAGCGTCCAGGTCTGGTCCTGAGTCTGCCCCCTGTTCGTGTCGTCGTCTGTCTCACGAGACCCTCCTCTGGCACCACCGCCTTGGCCACCCCTCTCTGCTTCGGCTCAGAGGCATGGCCTCGCGGGTACTTGTGTCTGGTCTTCCCCAGTCCCTCCCTCCCTTTCCTCCGGGCCCTGGCCCTGCCTGTGTCCCCTGTGTCGAGGGGCGCCAGCGTGCTGCCCCTCACTCCTCCCAGTTTCCTCCGACAGAGGCCCCGTTGCAGACGCTTCACATGGACGTGTGGGGCCCAGCCCGCGTCCGTGGACAGGGTCAGGAGCGCTACTTCCTGCTGGTGGTTGACGACTACTCGCGTTACACCACAGTCTTCCCTTTGCGCAGCAAGGGTGAGGTCACTGCGGTGTTGATCGACTGGATCCGCGCAGCTCGTCTCCAGCTTCGGAGGAGCTTTGGCTCTGACTTCCCTGTTTTGCGTCTGCACTCGGACAGAGGCGGAGAGTTCTCCTCTGGCCTCCTGAGTGCCTACTGTCGTGCGCGAGGCATCCGTCAGACCTTCACGCTTCCGGACTCACCACAGCAGAATGGGATTGCTGAGCGCCGCATTGGCATGGTCATGGACGTCGCTCGTACGTCCATGATGCATGCGGCTGCTCCCCATTTTCTGTGGCCGTTTGCGGTCAGGTACGCTGCGCACCAGATCAACCTCCACCCCAGGGTCTCTCGACCGGAGACCTCCCCAGCCCTGCTGTGGACGGGGAAGGTTGGCGATGCGTCGGCGTTCCGGGTCTGGGGATCTCGGGCGTTTGTTCGCGACCTGACTGCGGACAAGCTGTCCCCTCGTGCTTCTCCCTGCGTCTTCCTGGGGTTCCCCCCCGACGCCCCTGGGTGGCAGTTTTACCACCCCACCTCTCGACGTGTTCTGTCCTCCCAGGACGTCACGTTCGACGAGTCGGTACCCTACTACCGCCTCTTCCCCTACCGCACTCCGTCCCTCCCCCCTCCCCCGCTCTTCTTGGTACCAGGTCCCCCCCCGGTAGTCCCCCTCCCCCCTCAGGGTCCTGCCCCTTCAGGTGTGTCCCAGGTAGACGCGGTCGAGCCTGTCGAGGTCACTGGTGACTCTGGTGCTGCTGCGGGAGCTGAGCCTGGAGGTGCGGAGTCTGGGGGTGCTGAGCCTGGGGGTGCTGTGCCTGGGGGTGCTGAGTCTGGGGGTGCTGAGCCTGGGGGTGCTGTGCCTGGGGGTGCTGAGCCTGGGGGTGCTGAGCCTGGGGGTGCTGAGCCTAGGGGTGCTGAGCCTGGGGGTGCTGAGCCTGGGGGTGCTGAGCCTGGGGGTGCTGAGCCTGGGGGTACTGTGCCTGGGGGTGCTTCGTCTCGCCGGGAGCCACTCTCCCCACAGGAGCTGCGTGAGTGGTTTACCAGGCGCTGGAGGCGTGCTGCTGGTGCTGGTGGTTCTTCGCCTGCAGTAGGTACTGCTGCCGCGCGTCCCGACGGTGCTCGTACTGTGGGTGCTGGAGCTGCTCGGTCTGAGGGTTCTCCTGGAGCTGGTGCTGCTGAGGGTGTTGGCGCTGAGCCTGCCGCTGGTGGTCCGACTGACAGTGCTCCTGGTGCTGCTACTGGGGGTTCTGGAGCTTCTGGAGGTGCTGCTGGAGGTGCTGCTGGCGTGGGTGCTCCTGACGGGGGGGCTGGTGCTGTTCCTGCTGTTCCTGGTGTCGCCGTGCGGCCCCGACCGTACTTCGTTCCGCTCCTGCAGCAGGTTCTTAGTCTTGCACCTCCTCCTGCTCCCTTAGAGGGTCCACAGCCTGTTCGGTCACAGCCACAGCTACAGCCTGCCTCCCCTTTGCCTGCTCCTTCTCCCTACGCTGGTCCGACTGGAGGTCTTACTGAGCGTCGTGAGCCTGCGTCTCGTCCTGCGTCGCCTGTTCGTACTGAGCGCGCTAGTGGTCGCGGGTCGCGTCAGCGTCCTCCTCCTGTCCCTGGCACGCACCGGATGTCACTGCGTCCGTCCACTGCTCCTCTGCGTGCCCCTTTGCCTTCTCCTCCTCCTTCCTCTCTTCCTGCTCTTGCCGACCCGGAGTCGGACTCTCTTCGTGCTGCCAGTCCTACTGTCACGCGTCTCCTTGCTACTGCTGTCACTGACCCTTCCTTCGAGTCGTCTGCTGCGTCTGCCCTTGTCACTGAGCTTGTCGACTTTGCTGCGCGCTGTCGTCTAGACTACGCTGCTCGTCTTGTCGCTGAGTCTGAGTCCGTCTGTCCTCCGTCCGTCGGGGGTGAGTGTGCCCTTGGCACGGACGTCCTAGAGGACAGGCAGGAGGAGTTACAGTGTCTAGCGGCTGCTTCACCTCATCTCGCGTCTGTACTGCTTGCCCCTGAGGGAGACCCGGATGCACTAGACATCCCGACTCCGCGTTCTTACGCGGAGGCCGTAGAGGGTCCCTACTCCTCTCAGTGGCAGGCAGCTATGGATGCAGAGATGGCTTCCTGGAAGTCCACAGGCACCTACGTTGACGCGGTTCCCCCTCCTGGGGCGAACATCGTCAGTGGCATGTGGATCTTCAGGGTGAAGCGGCCGCCGGGCTCCCCGCCTGTCTTCAAGGCGCGTTACGTGGCTCGTGGCTTCAGTCAGCGGCAGGGAGTTGACTACTTTCAGACCTTCTCTCCCACCCCGAAGATGACCACTCTTCGGGTGCTGCTGCACATTGCCGCTCAGCGCGACTACGAGCTTCACTCTCTCGACTTCAGCACTGCGTTCCTGCAGGGTAGCCTGCACGAGGAGATCTGGCTGCGCCGTCCGCCTGGCTTCACTGGGACTTTCCCTCCTGGCACCCAGTGGAGCCTCCGACGGCCAGTCTACGGTCTCCGCCAGGCACCGCGTGAGTGGCACGACACACTGAGGACTACGCTTGCGGCTCTTGGGTTTGCTCCTTCTACTGCTGACCCGTCGCTGTTTCTTCGCACCGACACTTCCCTGCCGCCGTTCTACATCCTCGTGTACGTCGACGACTTGGTCTTTGCCACAGCGGACACTGCTGGACTCGCCTACGTGAAGTCCGAGCTGCTGAAGAGACACACGTGCACAGACCTGGGTGAACTGCGCAGCTACCTTGGCTTGCAGATCACTCGGGACAGAGCACGTCGCACCATTACCCTGACTCAGTCACACATGGTGCAGCAGGTCCTTCAGCGCTTCGGCTTCACGTACTCCTCGCCTCAGGCCACTCCTCTGCCTACTCGCCACTCACTCTCAGCTCTGCCTTCGGATGAGTCCGTAGAGTCGAGTGGTCCGTATGCAGAGCTTGTTGGCTGCCTCATGTACCTGATGACCTGCACACGACCTGACCTTGCATACCCTCTGAGCATTCTTGCACGCTATGTTGCTCCTGGGAGACACAGACCGGAGCACATGGCTGCAGCGAAGAGGGTATTGCGCTACCTGTGCAGTACGTCGGGCATGGGGCTAGTGCTTGGAGGGCGGAGTCCAGTGGTCCTTACCGGCCACGCGGACGCTTCTTGGGCTGACGACCAGGCTACGCAGCGGTCGTCACAGGGTTACACCTTCAGCCTTGGTTCCGGTTCTGTCTCGTGGCGGTCTACTCGCTCGTCTTCAGTTCTCGGCTCCAGTTGTGAGGCTGAGATCTACGCCGGGGCCATGGCTGCACAAGAGCTTCGCTGGCTCACCTACCTGCTGACCGACCTTGGAGAGCCGCCTCGTTCTCCTCCAGTGCTGTACGTAGACAACAAGGCCATGCTGGCCTTGTGTCGAGAGCAGCGCTTGGAGCACAGAACGAAGCACATTGCTCTCCGCTACTTCCTTGCTCGTGAGCTGCAGCAGCGTGGTCAGTTGCGACTTGCTTACGTGGCCTCTGAGGCCAACACTGCTGATGTGTTCACCAAGGCACTTGCGCCTTGTGACCATCAGCGCTTTTGTACCCAGCTGGGTCTTGTACCTGTCTTGCCTCACTTGCTCTCTTCTTGACTTTACTTGTACTTTGTTATATATATGTCTGTACTCCTGCATGTGAACTGGCCTCTGGCCCTGCTCTTGTGCTCGGACTGTGTGGTGACTTTGTGATCCACCCTGAGCTTGCTTTGCTTTGCTTTGCTTGACTGGTCTTGTGACCCCTTGTTCTCCCCCACTTTGCCTATGGGGGTGTGTCAGATTATTATGGCTGATGCATGTTTGTAGGCTATAGTGGGGTAGCACATATGGGGTACAGTTTGCTAGGGTTGTATTTGTACCCAACTCTGACTTAGTCAATTCATTCCTGTTCTGTTAGTTTCACATGAAAAAGTAGAGGGAATCTAACGGTCTCACTCGATCAGAAGGTGGGAAATATATAAACCTAGTCAGCTAAAAAGGTTTGAAATGTATTCAACGCACATGTATAGAGAAAATGGTGCATTGGCTAGGTCGGTCAGTATCGGAACTTAAAATGCAAATGCCAGGGAGAACGGAAGCGCTCAGATCTCGCATAGTACACGGAATCAAGTGGTCTCACTCAAATAGAAAGTAAGAATATATATTCATCTAGTGAACGTAAGGGTTTGAAAGGTAACTAACGCACATGTGTAGAGAAAATTGTGCATCGGCCAGTCTGGCCGGCATTTCGCACTTATAGTGCAAGTAGGGCCAAGGAGAACGGAAACACTCATTTCTCAAAAACTAAAGAGAATCTAGCGGTCTCACTCGATCAGAAGGTGGGAAATATATAAATATAGTGAGCTAATAAGGTTCGAAAGGAATCTAATGCATATGTATATGGAAAATGGTGCATTGGCCAGGTTGGTCAGTATGGGAACTTAGAGTGCAAATGCCAGGGAGAACGGAAGCGCTCAGATCTCGCATAGTACACGGAATCTAGTGGTCTCACTCAAATGGAAGGTATGAAATAAATTTATCTAGTGAACGTAAGGGTTTGAAAGGTAACTAACGCACATGTGTAGAGAAAATGGTGCATCGGCCAGTCTGGCTGGCATTTCGCACTTATAGTGCAAGTAGGGCCAAGGAGAACGGAAACGCTCATTTCTCAAAAAGTAAAGGGAATCTAGCGGTCTCACTCGATTAGAAGGTGGGAAATATATAAATCTAGTGAGCTAATTAGGTGCGAAAGGAATCTAATGCATATGTATATGGAAAGTGGTGCATTGGCCAGGTCGGTCAGTATCGGAACTTAAAATGCAAATGCCAGGGAGAACGGAAGCGCTCAAATCTCGCATAGTACACGGAATCAAGTGGTCTCACTCAAATAGAAAGTAGGAAATATATTCATCTAGTGAACATAAGGGTTTGAAAGGTAACTAACGCACATGTGTAGAGAAAATTGTGCATCGGCCAGTCTGGTTGGCATTTCGCACTTATAGTGCAACTAGGGCCAATGAGAACGGAAACGCTCATTTCTCAAAAAGTAGAGGGAATCTAGCGGTCTCACTCGATCAGAAGGTGTGAAATATATAAATCTAGTGAGCTAATAAGGTTCGAAAGGAATCTAATGCATATGTATATGGAAAATGGTGCATTGGCCAGGTCGGTCAGTATGGGAACTTAGAGTGCAAATGCCAAGGAGAACAGAAGCGCTCAGATCTCGCATAGTACACGGAATCTAGTGGTCTCACTCAAATAGAAGGTAGGAAATAAATTCATCTAGTGAACGTAAGGGTTTGAAAGGTAACTAACGCACATGTGTATAGAAAATGATGCATCGGCCAGTCTGGCCGGCATTTCGCACTTATAGTGCAAGTAGGGCCAAGGAGAACGGAAACACTCATTTCTAAAAAAGTAAAGGGAATCTAGTGGTCTCACTCGATCAGAAGGTGGGAAATATATAAATCTAGTGAGCTAATAAGGTTCGGAAGGAATCTAATGCATATGTATATGGAAAGTGGTGCATTGGCCAAGTCGGTCAGTATGGGAACTTGAGTGCAAATGCCTGGGAGAACAGAACCGCTCAGATCCGCATAATACACGGAATCTAGTGGTCTCACTCAAATATAAGGTAGGAAATATATTCATCTAGTGAACGTAAGGGTTTGAAAGGTAACTAACGCACATGTGTAGAGAAAATTGTGCATCGGCCAGTCTGGCCGGCATTTGGCACTTATAATGCAACTAGGGCCAAGGAGAACAGAAACGCTCATTTCTCAAAAAGTAGAGGGAATCTAGCGGTCTCACTCGATCAGAAGGTGGGAAATATATAAATCTAGTGAGCTAATAAGGTTCTAAAGGAATCTAATGCATATGTATATGGAAAATGGTGCATTGGCCAGGTCGGTCAGTATGGGAACTTAGAGTGCAAATGCCAAGGAGAACGGAAGCGCTCAGATCTCGCATAGTACACAGAATCTAGTGGTCTCACTCAAATAGAAGGTAGGAAATAAATTCATCTAGTGAATGTAAAGGTTTGAAAGGTAACTAACGCACATGTGTAGAGAAAATGATGCATCGGCCAGTCTGGCCGGCATTTCGCACTTATAGTGCAAGTAGGGCCAAGGAGAACAGAAACGCTCGTTTCTCAAAAAATAAAGGGAATCTAGCGATCTCACTCGATCAGAAGGTGGGAAGTATATAAATCTAGTGAGCTAATAAGGTTTTAAAGGAATCTATTGCATATGTATATGGAAAATGGTGCATTGGCCAGGTCGGTCAGTATGGGAACTTAAAGTGCAAATGCCAGGGAGAACGGAAGCGCTCAGATCTCGCATAGTACGCGGAATCTAGTGGTCTCACTCAAATAGAAGGTAGGAAATAAATTCATCTAGTGAACGTAAGGGTTTGAGAGGTAACTAACGCACATGTGTAGAGAAAATGGTGCATCGGCCAGTCTGGCCGGCATTTCGCACTTTTAGTGCAAGTAGGGCCAAGGAGAACGGAAACCCTCATTTCTCAAAAAGTAAAGGGAATCTAGTGGTCTCAGTCGATAAGAAGGTGGGAAATATATAAATCTAGTGAGCTAATAAGGTTCGAAAGGAATCTAATGCATATGTATATGGAAAATGGTGCATTGGCCAGGTCGGTCAGTATGGGAACTTAAAGTGCAAATGCCAGGGAGAGCGGAAGCGCTCAGATCTCGCATAGTACGCGGAATCTAGTGGTCTCACTCAAATAGAAGGTAGGAAATAAATTCATCTAGTGAACGTAAGGGTTTGAAAGGTAACTAACGCACTTCTGTAGAGAAAATGGTGCATCAGCCAGTCTGGCCGGCATTTCGCACTTATAATGCAAGTAGGGCCAAGGAGAACGGAAACGCTCATTTCTCAAAAAGTCAAGGGAATCTAGCGGTCTCACTCGATCAGAAGGTGGGAAATATATCAATCTAGTAAGCTAATAAGGTTTGAAAGGAATCTAATGCATATGTATATGGAAAATGGTGCATTGGCCAGGTCGGTCAGTATGGGAACTTAGAGTGCAAATGCCAGGGAGAACGGAAGCGCTCAGATCTCGCACAGTACACGGAATCTAGTGGTCTCACTCAAATAGAAGGTAGGAAGTAAATTCATCTAGTGAACGTAAGGGTTTGAACGGTAACTAACGCACATGTGTAGAGAAAATGGTGCATCGGCCAGTCTGTGAAAGAGAGAACGAGAATGAAATGACTATGAAAGAAGTGAGTACAAATAGGAAACCCTAATTGGTTGTACCCCCTATGGGATACCCCACTATAGCCTACACAATAGTATAAGCTATATAGTTCTGACACACCCCCATAGGCAAAGTGGGGGAGAACAAGGGGTCACAAGACCAGTCAAGCAAAGCAAAGCAAAGCTCAGGGTGGATCACAAAGTCACCACACATTCCGAGCACAAGTTCAAGGCCACATGGCCAGTTCACATGCAAGATCATATATAGAGATATACAAGAGTCAAGTAAGCAAGAGCAAGAGTATATATAGGCGAAGGTACAAGCAAGGTCAAGAGGAGAGCAAGTGAGGCAAGACAGGCACAAGACCCAACTGCGTGCAACAACGCTGATGATCACAAGGCGCAAGTGCCTTGGTGAAGACATCAGCAGTGTTGGCCTCAGAGGCCACGTACGCAAGTCGCAACTGTCCACGCTGCTGTAGCTCACGAGCAAGAAAGTAGCGGAGAGCAATGTGCTTCGTTCTGTGCTCCAGTCTCTGCTCTCGACACAAGGCCAGCATGGCCTTGTTGTCTACGTACAGGACTGGAGGAGAACGAGGCTGCTCTCCAAGGTCGGTCAACAGGTAGGTGAGCCAGCGTAACTCCTGTGCAGCCATAGCCCCGGCGTAGATCTCAGCCTCACAACTGGAGCCGAGAACAGAAGACGAGCGGGTAGCCCGCCACGAAACAGAGCCGGAACCAAGGCTGAAGGTGTAACCCTGTGACGACCGCTGCGTAGCCTGGTCGTCAGCCCAAGAAGCGTCCGCGTGCCCAGTGAGGACCACTGGACTGCGCCCTCCAAGCACTAGCCCCATGCCCGACGTACTGCACAAGTAGCGCAACACCCTCTTCGCTGCAGCCATGTGCTCTGGTCGGTGTCTCCCAGGAGCAACATAGCGTGCGAGAATGCTAAGAGGGTATGCAAGGTCAGGTCGTGTGCAGGTCATCAGGTACATGAGGCAGCCAACAAGCTCTGCATACGGGCCACTCGACTCTACGGACTCATCCGAAGGCAGAGCTGAGAGCGAGTGGCGAGTAGGCAGAGGAGTGGCCTGAGGCGAGGAGTACGTGAAGCCGAAGCGCTGAAGGACCTGCTGCACCATGTGTGACTGAGTCAGGGTAATGGTGCGGCGTGCTCTGTCCCAGGTGATCTGCAAGCCAAGATAGCTGCGCAGTTCACCCAGGTCAGTGCACGTGTGTCTCTTCTGCAGCTCGGACTTCACGTAGGCGAGTCCAGCAGTGTCAGCTGTGGCAAAGACCAAGTCGTCGACGTACACGAGGATGTAGAACGGCGGCAGAGAGGTGTCGGTGCGCAGAAACAGCGACGGGTCGGCAGTAGAAGGAGCAAACCCAAGTGCCGCG